AAGACTTGTTAAGGGTGAATCCGTGGGAAGGGTTTTGGAGACAGCATTTTGATGAACTGTAGCTGCAATGCATGGAGTTGAGGGAAAGAATGATGCTGTCCGGGTGCTAGCTGTGCTTCAGGAATGAAAAATCCGCTCAGTGCAGCCACCATAACACCGTAACTAAACTCTGTCTAGTTTCTCACCACATCCCCAGCCAGTTCCTGGATTATTTTAATAATACCAGCACTGAGAGGGATAGAATAAACTTTCTGTGGAAGGAATAAAGCTTATAGAGATCTGTATCTCTGCATCATCCTCCAGGAGTGTTTTTTCTCTTACAGTTCAATGAAAATCTGTCCATTTTCTGTCTTTCAACCTTAAGATTTTTCATAGGCTGTGTTGGAAGTAAGCTTCCATTTAATCTCTGAGACTCACAGCTGCTGTGAAGGTTTTTGAAGATAAATAGTAAGTTTGTTATAGTTTACTGCTTCTATGACTGGCTTATTTGGCACATTCTGCCCTAAATTGATTACTTGCTCAGCGTCTATGAGATGCTACAGAGAAGTTCTGTTGTGGTTGCTCAGAGCTGCCCTGACAGATGAAGTGCATGGCTAGAGATGCCTAAGACAGGCAGAGTTGAACCAAACTCTTGCAAATGGGTATCATTTCTTCCAAGCTATGTACAAATCCCTATTCCTATGGGTAGATGTCTACTGGGAGGCCAGTGCCATCAACGTCTGAGGAATCTGAACTGCTTCTTGAAGTTTTTTAGCCTGCATAGTTGGAAAGAGACTTTAAAATATGAACAGTGTGAGCTGATATGATTTTGTGCTCCTGAATCTGGCATAGTAGTGGTGCTTCCATTAATTTCTCTGCTATGGCGGAGCTCCCTTCTAACAGCAGTGAAGCAAAGAATTTGGTCGGTTTAGTGTTGCTGCTCTTGTTGGGAAGTTTGAGATGAGGAGGAGGAGAATAGGCCCTGGAGCTACTTGCAGGGAAGACACAGTCTAACAACAGAGCCCTGGGGGAAGGCTGGAGGGACGTCTGTTCTCTGCCCTGTTTGGAAACTCTTGGAGAGGAAGCAGATCACAAAGCTTTTCTTTCTAGAAGCTAAGTTGGATGGAGTGCCAAACTTGAAGGAATTATTAATAATTTAATCATAGCAGTACAGTACTTGAAAAGATCAAACTCTTGGCTATGCCTGATGCTTCCATGGAGATGTGGGCTAAAAATAATTCAGGAGCTAAGGTAAAGCCCCCAGGCAAAGTCCTGGAACTATGCCATTTTAATAGTCCCAGCACATCCCCTTTTGATGAAGAGAGGAATTTAAGTTGGTATTTCCTCTCAGGTCTCAACTTCCAAGCTCTGGCAGATTTAGTACTTTAAAGATACAATATGGTGCTCAGGTCCCAGCTAAACTGTTTCTAGTTGTGCCCTAGCTAAGCTGGAGGTATTTGGGTAACATCAGCTCTAGGTGCGCAGGTTGAACTTTGTGGAAGAATCCATAGACCAACTTCCTTTCAAATACAAGGTGTGTTCTTGGACCTGTGCTTCAAAGCTGGTGGGGGGAAGGAACAACACTCTAACAGGACAACTGTCTTCTCCACAGCTTGTTCCCCAGCTAGTTCGCATTCTGAAGAACCTTATCATGTCTGGATATTCACCAGAGCATGACGTGTCTGGGATCAGTGACCCCTTTTTGCAGGTAAGAACTGATGCAAGCAGTGGTTGCTAGCTTTAATTCTGGGACTGTGTTTTGAGAGTTAGCTGTGATAAGGTGGTTACCTCAGGGCAGCTGTCTGATTTTGAGATTTTGTGTCTTTGTGAGAGCTGCTGGTGCAAATGCTCTTCATCTACTGTAGTGAAAGACACCTGCCTTACTTTAAACAGCAATTGTAGTGCATTATCGTGGGGTGTGAGGGTGTGACAAAAAGGAGAAGCAGCAACGCGTGTTGATCTTGCAAGGCGGTGCCTAGTGGGTGGTGGGGGAACTCTGAACAGTTCTTGCTAGCAGGAAAAGTACGAGCACAGCGTAAGCCTGTTCTTGTTGGTAAAGGTCTTATTAAGGATAAGCATTTTGCTTAGGAGTGGAGATGAGCAGCTTGTTTTGCTTCGTTGTCGCTACTCAGGAGGAGTACTGGGCATTTCATGGTCCCCATGTAAAACGCTGCCATCCAGTGAGATTTTCTTTGCTTTGTTTCGTCGAATAGGTACGAATCCTGCGGTTACTAAGAATTTTAGGGCGAAATGATGATGATTCTAGTGAAGCAATGAATGATATACTTGCACAGGTGAGTCTGCAAGGTTAATAAGCAGCCTAAACTTTCTCTTTCGGTTTCTTAATGATTTTGGTTTGGCAGCACTGGTGAGGATACAGCTGTTCACTATGCTGGGTTGGATTTTGCTGCAAGAGACACCTGTTCATGGGTGTGATGCTCGTTTGCCAGGGATCGGTTAGTTTCACTGCCTGTTCTGCAGAACAGCACAAAGGGTATCTGTTCTGGATGCCTTGGAGTTACTTATTTTGTTTCTTTTCTCCAGGTTGCCACTAATACAGAAACAAGTAAAAACGTGGGAAATGCCATTCTGTATGAAACTGTGCTGACTATTATGGACATAAAATCTGAGAGTGGACTGAGAGTAAGTTGCCTTTGCTGTGGGCTTCCACCCCTGCCCCAGCTTACATTAGAGTCATTTGTGTAGAGGACATGAAGCAAAGTTGTTTCATCCAAACATAGCTCCAGAGTTGGCTCTAGATAAGACTGTGGCCTCTTCAGAAAGTGGTGTTTGTGGGTTTTTTTAAAAACAACAAAAATAAAAAAGCAAAACTTCCTGCAGAATATGTTCCTTTGAGTGCAGGAGAGAGCTTGTGCTGTGTTTGTCTCAGCTGTTCCTCTGCTTAGTCAGCTCTGGAGTTCTCTATGTTGTGCTTTTGGATAGAAACCACAAGGTGGCTTTGACATATTGCCTTTAAAATCATCTTGAAAAAATGAAGATGACCAGCAGCCTTTTTTGATCACTGACCTTCACTAACTTTTTCTGCAGGTGTTAGCCATTAACATCCTAGGCCGTTTCTTATTAAACAACGACAAAAATATTAGGTAAGTTGCATGAAGTGTGTTTTGGCAACACCAGGTTTAAATTGTGTGAGAAGCAATTACACAAAGAGGATGCTGAGGTAGAGCTTTCCAGGAGACAGGCTGGGAGGTACTGTTGTTGGGGTTAATATGACTGTCTAGTGTTCTTCTTTCGTGGTGCATTCTTTTCTCTGTGAAAATCCTGACTGTGGCCCTGCCCTTTTTAGTTGATGAGTCTGGGTGTATGATCTAATTTCCTAACATGGGATTTCTTAGTCAAGTGGTTTTTTTCCAATAAGCGGTGACTCTCCTGTCTTGTCCCAGCTGGTCTGTGGTGATATTCAGATTGGAGGTTGTGGTGTAGGTCGGACAAATTAGGCAAAGACTGTGTTTTTTCTGATTGTGTGCTGTTGGCAACAAGGAAGTTTGGTTGTGCTTTGGATCTGGAAATGGAATTGCTGCAGCTGCTAGAGTTACGTCCCATCTCTAGGCATTCTGAGTGCAAACCATGGTATAGGTAGAAGACTCTAGAAGAGTATATGATCTGCAGAGGTCTGATCTGTAATTTCCTTGTCTTTCCAAAATCTTTGTGAAGACGGAACACCTGACATGAGCCCAGGAACTGGGACAGGTGCCTGTCCAGGCAGTGGGATGTTGTTAGGCATGTTACAGTTTAGTGTGGTCACTCACCTCTGAAGAGACCAGCCAAGCAGTCTCCTGGAAGACTTCTGTTCATTACTGAGTAGAAGAGAACCCTGTTCTGTTGCAAAATAAGACTAAGTTTTGGGGGGTGTGAGTGCCTGTGCACAGAAGTTAAACACCTGCTGTCAACTGTTTATTACCATGTGTCCTTGTCCCAGATACGTAGCTCTGACATCGTTGTTGAAAACTGTGCAGACAGACCATAATGCAGTACAGCGGCATAGAAGCACGATTGTGGACTGCCTGAAGGATCTGGATGTCTCCATTAAAAGGTAATTGAAATATCAGTGAAAGAGAGTCTCAATAAATAGATCTAGAACGCAAACTATAATGAACAGGTGAGCTAGAACATTATCTAGATCCAACAAGTGAGCTAGAACCATCACTTGATCTAGAAACTACAGTATGGTCTAGAATGTGCTCTGGACCCATGAAGTGTTCCTGAACCACCAAGCCAGCTAAACCACATCCCTCACTAGAACCAGCGACCTGAACTAGAGCCAACAAGTGGCCTGTCCCCTGGTCTAGAAACAAGTGAGCAGTGAAAGTCGATCTAGAACCAGCACGCGCCCTAGAACCGTCAAGTGTGCTAGAACTTGATCTAGAACCAGCGAGTGAGCTGGAGCCCGATCTAGAACTGGCAAGCAGTGGGAACTTGATCCAGAACCAGCAAGTGAGCTGGGACTATGGAAAGTGACCAGGACGCATAGGGGACAATTACAATCTTGGGGAACTGTGAGACTAGCATTAACGCATAGTATGGCTCATAGTTCAGAGGAGGTAATGAAGATGTGCAGCCACCTTCTTTGGGAAGCTGCTTTTGTATTCTATGCATCTTGGAAGAAAAATTTTGCTCTTTGCCTGATTTTTTTACAAAATGGAGTCTCAATGGAGATCAGGTTGTGTGCTCATAACAAGGTGGAAAGTCTCCAGAAGTATGATCCTAATCAAATTTACTCTGACGTGCTCCATATTGCTCTTCTTTCCCAGATGAACAGGCAGTGCTAAGCAGTGTTAAGTTATCCAGATAATGTATTCTAGATTCAACTTGATTAGGCAGTAGTAGAATTCAGGCTTACTTGATTGTTCAAATGATTTGCTTACAAACCATGTCCTGTTATGCATTCTTGGTGTTTATCATTTAAATAGTAGTATGTTGGTACTTCTCTGGGCAAAAGGAGAGCTTGCAACCTTACTTCTCACTACAGGAAGACTTTAGACTGAGCATCAGAAAAAACTTCTTACTCTGTTTCTTGTTATTACTAATGTTCCCTTTACTCACTATAGTAACTTTCTCCTATTTCTGTAAGACACTCATAGAGACTCTTGAGTTGTTTGATCTCAATTTTGCCCAACCTATATGGAATATACTGCTCCTAATCTTCTAAATCTTTCAGCCTGTTGATCGCTTTCTCTTTTTCAGACCTCTCTTCCTCATTGTTACTCTTTCCAGACCTGCTGGTCTGAGCTCAGTGCAGCGTAGGACGTGTCGGTGATGGGGATGGTTGCATCCCTGTTGCATCTGGTGGAATCTGGCTGCTGCAGGCCAGAATTTCATTGAGCTCTCATCACATCACGAATATGCTTTCAGAATTGCTCAACCTTTTATTCCATTTTGTCAAGCTGGTTAGATATGCCATATATACTCATTCTGATAGGCATTCTACTAATTTATGCCCATCTTTGAATCATATCTAGATTTTTAACAGTGCCACTCAATCTCATACGTACAGAATAGGAATGAAACTGGCCCTGTCTCACTTCTGAAACTTAGTTTTAACTGCTAGGTAATGGGTATCATGTAATCTATTTTTACAGTTGCAGTCTATCCCAAAACACAAGTTTCTGTCTTATATGCCAAGCAAGTCAGGCTGCTACTGCTCTTCAGTGTCAGAGCCAGCGTGAGGCTAGGCTGTGGAATGGCAAAGCCTCCTCTAGGTTTTGGATGGATGCAACAAAAGCATTTTATCGGTGCCTGCTAGGGAAGCATAGGTAGGCTACAAACGACAGAGCTTCATGTCTGAGTGCTGTTGGAGGATGAAGCCTCAGAGTGATCCATCAGCAGAGCATGACGTTGCCGTGCTGACACTCGTGCTGCTGACAAGGCACTGCTGTCATTGAAGCGATGTGTTGGCTGAATGTCAGAGTTCCAGGCAGCGAGTTTCAAGGGCTGGGACTTGAGGGAAAGACGTGATTCCTGGTTTTGGTTATCTGAAGCATGGCCTGTTCTCATAATCTTTGCATAACCATTGCAGTGCATCTTTGGTCCACGTAGTATAATTCAGAATGGCTTTGCCATTTAATTCAAATATTTTTGTCTGTCTGCTTCATATGGTCGAACTACATGATCAGGAACTTCGTGACAGAAATGAGCTGTGTAATATGATTGAAGGTAAGAAATAGGTGTTGAGATAAATGCCCAGTATTAAGATTGCAGAGTACCTCTGGGCACCTGCAGTGTTCATACATCTGCTATAATGTGATGGAAAAGTTAAATATAAACATGGAAAACTTGTAACCCAGTAGGGTTAGTGTAAGGTGTTGGGAACTAATTGGAGGGATGAAAACTATTCTGATAACGGTATAGGTCTTCCAACAGCCACAGATCTAGATGATAAAAGGTTAATAGTTTAGTCATGTGTTTCCACCCTGTGTATTAGTTGGGTAAAAAGCAAAATAGCTTTTTACAATTCACAATTCTGTAGAAATCCGTGTTCTTGTCACAATAACTAGGGGGATGTTGAGAAGTAGTGCTGTCTAAGTGTTTTCCGATTCTTGAGAACAAATAGCTTATGCCCAGTACTATTGGATGGGGTAATGTGTCTGGTCTAGGTTGTTGATGTTTCATGAACATTGGGAAATACCAAGCAATGAGAAAAAATAACTCTGTCCACGGTAGGTTGGCAAGCTTGACACTGGAGCAAGACAGAATCAGTGGGACTGCTCGTGGGCTTGCTGCCAGTGAAAGGATGACAGCATAGCTCATGCATCTCAACATTCTGTTTTTGATGAAAGTTGCTGGAGTTAAAACACACATTGAGGTCTGATCTATTTGAAGAAAGTGTATATTACAAAATAGACTTTAGGCCTTTTTGGCATAATTTTTGTTATAATCTGTTGCACACCAAGCAATACAAAATCACTGTACGCATGAAGCAGTTCAGCAGTTGTCCAGATGACTTCAAAAGATAACTGAAATGGTGGAGGAAGCTTTTGATATGCTGTGAGGATCTCTCTTGTCTTCTAGTAGGCTATCTCAGTAATAGAGAATAAAGTTTCTGATAGCATGGAGAGGACACAGCTTGGAGGTTGGGGTTCAGGATTACACCAAATGCTCAGTTTTAAGTAATAGGGTTGTTCAGTGAAGCTGTTCTAATGCGTTGTTTTAATGCATTTTAACATAACTAATTGCCAACGTTGCACAATCACATTTTAATACAGTAGTCAAAAAATGTCGGAAAAATGGGAGAGCTGCTCTAGAATCATCTGCAAAACCTTCAAGTAGAAGGGCTAAGGACTAGCCTCTCAATGTACACAACAAGGAATAGCAAAGCGCCAGTACTCTGTCTGGTTGTGGTGTCAGCTTGTTGGGAGGAGGAATGGGCTCTGAGAAGAGCACCGGAGTAATTTGAGGACTGTATCTGTCTGACAGGATACAATAAAGCTTATCAGTTAATATTTAAAATCTCTGCTGTATTTGAATCTCTAATATATGGAGATGGAAATAGATCTCTTCTGGATGTCTGAAGCTGGAGAAAGTTTGTAGTAGCATGGATTACTTACTGCAGTTGTGTGTCAGAAATGACCAGCATGCGATTACAAATACTTGGATAGTCAGACCTTAATGTTGGTGGACTCTGATTGATGAAAGATATTTCTAGCCTTTAGGACATGTGGATAGGTGTTTCTAAACACCCCACACCCTTGGGTTTTTTTGAGGGTGGGTCTTTGTCTGCCCATGAACAGGAAAATAGCAGTACATTTAATGCTGGAAGGCTGTTCTCGTCAGGATTGATAAATATTGCTCTCTTCTTAATTTAAAGGTAAGTTCATTTGAGTATCTGGACTTGAGGGTGGCTTTTTTTTTACTTCACTAGCTGAAGATACTTTATTAATTTTCTGTCTCTTGTCCTAGGCGTGCAATGGAACTGAGTTTTGCTCTTGTTAATGGGAACAATGTCCGTGGAATGATGAAGGAGTTGCTGTATTTCCTAGATTCCTGTGAACCAGAGTTCAAGGCAGACTGTGCATCTGGAATATTTCTTGCAGCTGAAAAGTATGGGGTCAATTTACTTGCTATTAACTTTTTGTACATCCTCGGTATTGTGAGCATTTTGTGTATTGTTCTTCCCCTCCTCTTCTCCGTTTGCTGCTCTCTGTGTGGCTTGTCAGTTTTAACCCACTCTGAGGAACAGGACACACCAGTGCCTCCCGTACGGATAGTCCTCATGTCACTAAGCCAGTCTAGTGTATTGTTTTCTGCTGCACTTTGGAACAGGTATTGTGCTGACACCCTCCACATGCACAGGTTCTCCCTGGTTAGTTTACGAGTGAGATGATCTTGTTGCTGTCATCAGCAGCCTGATGTGAACTCATCTGTGCAAGGCATGGCTGTGCTGTATCATACAGACTTGTGCATTCATTCAGCTTTCCAACATTGGCATTAATACAAAAAAGTCAAAGAATGTGAAGTGTCTGCTGGTTTGTTTTGTGGGGTTTTTTGTGTGTGTGTTTTGTTGGTTGTCCCCCCTTTAGGAAGCAAGTGGGCCAGGAAGTGACTGAGTGGGGAGGTTCTGGTGATGATGGGTTTCTTGCTGGTGTTGAAGGCTAGCAGTGATTGCTCCAACTTGTTCTCTTTATTTTGTCAGATATGCTCCTTCCAAACGCTGGCACATAGACACAATTATGAGAGTTTTAACAACGGTAAGTGAAATTGCCTCTCTTGTGTGTGACTACATAAAAATTTTTATTTCTGTAGGAAGTTACTTACTATGAAGTTGAAGCTGGCTGTAACGGCTGGCAGATGACAAGTGCTGCAATGTGCAGAGGAAGTGTATTTACACAGCAGTGACCCAAGGCAGCCAGCCAGGGAGACATTGACTCAGTCAATATGACTGAGTGGGTTTTTAGAAGAAACGTATAATTTCAGAAACACAAGAATACAGGGTGTAACAGTTTTCCTGCTGCAGTAATCACATTAGCTTCTAAGTTAGGACAGCTCTGGTGCTGCCTGTGATTCCAACACAGTGCTTTCAGGGGAGAGTGAACACAGCCTTAGGTGACTTTCAAAGAGAAGGGGGATGAAACCATTTAGTGGAATTGTTCCAAGTTGAGTTTATCAAACTCAAACAGTTTCATTTTGAAAAGCTTTAATTATTACTCTTTACCTACATTAATTTCTTTATAAACATCACAGCTGAGGTGGAACTGGAGTAGTCTTTTGGCAAACAAGAGGGAAGAGATCTTGATAACGTGGGTAGGCAGTGTGCTCCCTGAGGCACAGGGCTGGGAAGAGATTTATTTTATCACTGAGTGTTCAAATTTGAGAAGTTAATCAAGAAGCGAGTCTGCCTTGTGTGCTATTTTACCACCCTGAAACAGAAAAAAGTAGATTCCTCTGAACTGAGAATTGATTTCCATTAAAAGACGGTCTGTAAGAATTGCTCTCAGATTACTTCCTTCAATAAAGCACCTTCCTTCTCTTGGCTGCCAGAGAAACCACTTGTAAAGCTGTATTCATGAGACTGCCTGCTGCAGACTCTTACAGATAACATCCTTTTCAGTTTATCAGACTTATGAGAACTAGCACAGAAAGGTGGCACCAGCTGTATTTGGCTAGGTGGATTCTCACTTAGTTGACCTGATTGGGCTCTCTTAATTTCCTGCCTTTTGCGTGCTCTGCTCTCAGGGCCAGAGGAGTGCCTAAGCAGACCAGGTTTTGAGCAGTGTACATCCTCCCTTCAGTGCCAAAGCTGTGGGGTTGTGTTTTGGCCCACATACTTCCCTGGCCTTAAAGCAGGCTTTCCTCTCTGAGCTCTGTGTTCCTGTCCTTTAACCAAAGAGTGATACGCAGGCAAGTTCCTGGATCCTGTGCTTACTTGACACAGAGTCTGACTTTGAGCAAGCAACTGAATGAGCTGCATTCTGCCCCCAGGGTGTCCTTTGACTTAAAGCCTTCCATTTGACAGAGTAGTTTTCTGTGTTGCTTCTTGTTCCTTCTGTAGCACAGACTTCTTATGTCCATGCTCTATCCTCTTGGATACCTGCAGTATGGATTTCTCTCAGAATAGTTGAGTTCATTGTGAAAATGTGCTGACCTGTACTTCCACCCATCTGAGCCTGCCCAAAATCAATCATAAAGGGCTTGAGGACAAGGAGGTTGATTTTTATTTCCATGCATATCACGTGGCTTTGTGAAGGATATCAGCAGATGTTGGGTGTTACTGAGAAGTTGGACAGTGAAACCTAACAACTTTTGTCTCTTGAATACACAATTGTTCTTGCAGGCAGGAAGTTACGTTCGTGATGATGCTGTTCCCAATCTGATTCAGCTAATAACTAATAGTGTGGAGATGCATGCCTACACTGTGCAGAGACTCTACAAAGCCATCCTTGGTGATTACTCCCAGGTAATACCAAACACGACCAGCTTCAGTTTCCTTGTACTGCAATAGCATGTCTACTGAGCATCTCAGCATAAGGCAACATCACACTGTCTAGATCCAAGGGACAGATTGCAGAGGAGGCATGTCTCTATAAGTTCATGTTCTTTTTATTTTCTCTAATTCTCTTATGGAATTCTTGATTGAATCAAATATTCATTTTTCTTCTGTGGAGTACTTCCTTGGCTGGAAGGAGGGCTAAGCTTGCTCTGGGAAATGGTGACGGTTTAATTTGTCATACAGGCATCCATTTATCTCTGAGGCATCTGATTTTTCTTCTTCTTAACAGCAACCCCTGGTGCAAGTGGCCTCGTGGTGCATAGGAGAGTACGGAGATCTTCTGGTGTCTGGTCAGTGTGAAGAGGAGGAACCAATACAGGTATAGCTTGGGAAGGAACCTGGAGCAGCCTGGAGCTGCTCGTTGCTGGCTATGCGAGGGGAGTGCTTGCAACAGGTACTTAGCACTGGTGTCCATGATGGTGATGGACCCTGGACAGGAATCTCCTTCTCATGCTACAGCCATGGGCTGCGTAAACGCTCCCTGTGAGGAGTGCAGCCATGGTTGTCAGAGCGGTGTGGTTTCAGTGCTAACCTGGCTTGCATGGTATTTGCTGGGGTCTTAGCTGTGTATTTTGGTGATAAACCTGCTGCTCAATGGGTGGAACAGGAACTGTATTTTAAAACTGATATCATAAGATATCCACCTAGATACCTCTGTCTCATACGCTCTGAATACATGCTACAGTCTCCTCTACAGTAGAGGAGGTACGACATTAAGCCACACAGGTTTTTACAGTATACCCTGGAAGGCTTGCTGCAAAGCTTCTTTCTGTCTCAGCCTAATCTTTCTGTACCTTTTCAGGTAACAGAGGATGAAGTTCTTGATATTTTAGAAAGCGTCCTGATATCTAATATGTCTGCATCTGTTACGCGAGGCTATGCTCTCACTGCCATCATGAAGCTTTCCACGAGGTTCACCTGCACTGTCAAGTGAGTTCTCACTGATGTGGTACCGTACGGGGCTTTGTTGCAAGATGCTGGCATCAGTTGTCTTCAGTAGAAGTATTCCTTCCAACATGTTTTGCTTCCGTGGTTTACAAGAGTTGTCTTGTTATTTGTTGGCTTTTACAGTCCGGCTTTGTTTGCAGGGTGGAAGACTTCCACTGGTTTGTACTGTTTTCTCTGTGGACATCCTCTACTGTGTAGCGACTTAATCTACGTTGCTGTTGCTTGAAAACCCCTTTATGGGGATGTCCTGGGTCCAGCTGGGATAGG